CACTGCGCTTGCTCAGGCCTCGGGAGCGGTGCCCGGTCGGGTCTCACCTCCCGGATTGGCTCCTGCGTTCAGCTGGCTGCCTGGGCGGCGAGGCGGAGGTGTCAGAAGCTGGGTGCCCAGTGCTACCGACTCTGCTCGCTCAAACTGGATCCTACCGCTATCTTTCACCCTCTTAATCCTTCTTTAAAAAAATTGATTTCAGAGCGGAAGGGAGAAGGAGAGAGAAAAACATCAGTGACGAGAGAGTCATTGTTCGGCTGCCTCCTGCACGCCCCACACGGGATGGAGCCCGCCGCCGGGCATATACCCTGACCTGGTTCTTAGGTTGACGCTGGACTCATCTTACTTTTTATCCAATCCCAGAGGTTTCCCCGCTTTACTTTCTCCTGCCTCCCTAATCAATCAACAATGGGTTTCATGTAACCCACCTATGTCACCGCTGATGGTGGTTTATAAAAATGGGTGAACAACCATTTTCCGGAGCACTGTCTCCATGTGTTGAGATTCTGCTTCTGGCAACTGTCGACAGTTTGGTTCAAATAAACTCACAAAAATTCTCTGCAGGTTTGAATGTTTCTTACGTTAACAGCTGCTACAAATGATTCTCGATGGAACATTCAAAGTGGTCTTCACAGAGAGCAAAAGTGATCAAACAACCACTTTGCTTTGAACACTCAAAGGCATTGTGTTGGCCTCAGGGCAAGATCCCAAAACCATAGGGAGGCTTCCTAGACCAGTGGTTCTCAACCTTCCTAATGCCGCGACCCTCACGTTGTGGTGACCCCCAACCATAAAATTATTTTCGTTGCTACTTCATAACCGTAATGTTGCTACTGTTATGAATCGTAATGTAAATATCTGATATGCAGGATGTATTTTCATTGTTACAAATTGAACATAATTAAAGCATAGTGATTAATCACAAAAACAATATGTAATTATATATGTGTTTTCCGATGGTCTTAGGCGACCCCTGTGAAAGGGTCGTTCGACCCCCAAGGGGTCGTGACCCACAGGTTGGCGACCCACAGGTTGAGAACCGCTGTCCTAGACCCTTCAGCATGTGGGTCCTGCAAACTCTTCAGCTGTGTCTTGAATCCTTCCTTCTCCACCTCACTTCCTGCTCCAGCCCCAATTTTGTTTGTTTTTTAATGTTTTTTTTATTTGAGAGGAACAGGGGCGCGGGGAGAGATGTGTTGTTCCACTTATTTTTGCATTCATTGGTTGACTCTTGTATGTACCCAAAAATCTAACCTGCTGAGCTACCCAGCCAGCAACATCAAATTTCTTTCAGTTTCTCCACCACGACTAGTTGCTGGCCACCTCTTACCTCTCCTGCCTTGTGGTTGCTGTTCCCTCTGCCTGGGACAATCTTCCATTTCTCCCCCTCCCAGGTGTACCTGTGTGATTGCTACCCATTCTTCTGGTCTCAGTGAAGATGCTTGTTTTTCCAAGAAGTTCTTGACATCACCGCCCCGTATTTCCCTCTGACAGCTCTATCATCTACTGCATTTGCCTGTGCCCTTGTCCGCACTCTGCACCAGACTCAGTTCAGTGGGAGAGGGCGGGGGTGTAGGTGTTCTTCACCTTTATCATTCCACCACTTAGGCTAGTGGCTGAAATTTAGTACGGGTTCAGGATACATTTGTTAAATAAATTCGGTTCCTTAGTAAAGTTCCTTGGGATAAATAGTTATTTTATTGTGTTATATATTTCTTTTTTTAAAAATATATTTTTTTATTGATTTTTTACAGAGAGGAAGGGAGAGAGATAGAGAGAAACGTCGATGAGAGAGAAACACCGATCAGCTGCCTCCTGCACACTCCCCACTGGGATGTGCCCGCAACCAAGGTACATGCCCTTGACCGGAATCGAACCTGGGACCCCTCAGTCCGCAGGCTGACGCTCTATCCACTGAGCCAAGCCGGTTACGGCAATTGTGTTATGTATTTCTAACCTAAAAATAAGCCTGTATAGTTTATATGATCAGAAAACAATTAAATATTCAATATAAATAAGATAAAGATGCCATTAAAAATAGCAAAGTAAGCCTTAGCTGGTTTAGCTTAGTGGATAGAGCATCAGCCCATGGACTGAAGGGTCTCAAGTTTGATTCCTGTCAAGGCCATGTACCTTGGTCACAGGCTCAATCCACCGTCCCAGTTCAGGGTACGTGCAGGAGGCAACCAATTGATGTGTCTCTCTCACATCGATGTTTCTCTCTCTCAGTCTCTCTCCCTTCTTCCTTTCCCTCTCGCTAAAAATCAATGGGAAAAAATCCTAGGGTGAGGATTAACAAAACAAAACAAAAAGCAAAGTTATAGTAAAATCAGGAATTTGCACATGAAGTTTATTAACAACTGTGTGTTATAGCTTTGTTCTTGTTTTAAAATATAATACAATAGCCCTAACTGGTTTGGCTCGGTGGATAGAGTGTTGGCCTGCAGACTTAGGGGTCCCAGGTTCGATTCAGTCAAGGGCATATACCTTGGTTGCGAGCACATCCCCAGTAGGGAGTGTGCAGGAAGCAGCTGATAGATGTTTCTATCAATATTTATAACTCTCTATCCTTCTCCCTTCCTCTCTGTAAAAAATCAATAAAATATATTTTAAAAAATAATACAATAATAAAATATATCTCATCAACTTTACTCATTCAAAAGCATGGTTATAGTAACACTTCATGAAATGTCAATCTTATTTTAATTCAATATATACTTCTAAAGATGGCTAGTAGCTTTCATTTAGCAATTTCATGAAGAAAAAGTTCACTTGCAGAATTGTGTAGACTCAATTTTGACAGAACAAAAATTCAGGATAGTTCTGCGATCCACACATTTCCAAAATTTGAGGAAGTGTATTACTGTCCAGTATAATTTCCTTCCATCTCAATCTGCTTCTTTTGAAAATAGCCTCAATATTGGCTGGATTGCTCAGACACATTCTGAGACTTGTATATATATACTAGAGGCCCAATGCATGAAATTAGTGCAACAGTAGGCCTTCCTTCCCCTGGCTGTCAGCACCGGCTTCCCTCTGGTACCCAGGACCCAGGCTTCCCTCGCAGCCCCCGCTTCGTCCGGAAGGTCGTCCGGTCTAATTAGCATATTACGATTTTATTATATATATCTATATACATATATGTATATATGTATGTATATATATATATACACACACACATATATATTTCACAGAGGAAGGGAGAGGGAGAGAGAGAGGTAGAAACATCAATGATGAGAGAGAAGCATTGATTGGCTGCCCCCTGCACGCCCCACACTGGGAATCAAACTGTGACCTCCTGGTTCATAGGTCAATGCTCAACCATTGAGCCACGCCGGCAGAACTGAGATTTGTTTTTTAAAAGCTGCCACAAAAACTTAAAAACAATTCATACTCATCAAAAGCTGTGCTCTCCTCTGAAAGTGTAAAGTGGGTAAAGTTGATTAAGTTATGTTTTTTAGATCTTTTGCATTCACTTTTAAAATCCTATTTTGTGATCTGGCTCTTCTTCTCTACAAAGTAAGTGGTTCCATTGAGTTCTGGGCAGCTCAGCACTGTAAGCTGAATACAATTTCCAGTTACCATCCACTCAATCCAGGGGTCCAGGGGGGATTGGAATACCTGCCCTCCCATCAGGAATTTTCTTGTGGCCTGGCCAGCATGGCCCAGCCCTTCCTCTCTTTGTAAAAATCAATAAAAGCATATTTTTTAAAAATATATTTTATTGACTTTTTACAGAGAGGAAGGGAGAGAGATAGAGAGTAAGAAACATCGATCAGCTGCCTCCTGCACATCTCCTACTGTGGATGTGCCCGCAACCAAGGTACATGCCCTTGACCGGAATCGAACCCGGGACATTTCAGTCCGCAGGCCGACGCTCTATCCACTGAGCCAAACCGGTTTTAGCAAAAGCATATTTTTAAAAAAAAGAAGTTTCTTGTGTCTGGCCAGTGTGGCTCAGTGGTTGAGTAACAGCCCATGAACCAGGAGGTCCACGTTTGATTCTAGTCATGGTATATGCCCAAGTTGCTGACTTGATCCCCAGTAGGGGGCGTGCAGAAAGCAGCTGATCATCTCATCAATGTTTCTATCTCGATCCCTCTCCCTTCCTCCCTCTAAAATCAATTTTAAAAATATTTTTTAAAAAACGTTTCTTGTGAAATTTCAAGTTCAGTGTGTTTGGCTGTCTTGTCATATTGTCAACAAAGAAACTGGCCCTCTGTGACCCGCTGAGAGCTGCATTCCTTATTTCAGGGGAAACAGCTTGATAAGTCTGAGTCCTCATGGCCTAAAGTTGAACATATTGCTATATTCAAATTAACAAATACCCACACTCTGCCCCTCTTCCTACATACAGTATTGAGGACTGTGGGGACTATT